CAAACATAATTACAAAATTTCAACTAGTTTCATAAAGAATAACGAAAGATATGATTGACTGAATACATCAAAATGGATTTCTATTCGGACAACCCTTTCTGAGCGCTGATTGGCTAAAATACGAACACGAGATCACCTGGGTGTTTGGATGGAATGATCCAAACACTTGGGAATGTTACTCGAGTTAAGAAAAGCGGGCAAAATCACTCGCCTTCGGCTCGTGATTTCGCTCGCTTTTCTTAACCCTCGCAACATTCCCACGTGTTTGGATCAGGCCATCCAAACACGGAAACCATAAAGTAATTGTATAGTACTTACGGATGTCAAGTGTATTACTAAACACCAGTATTCTAGCGATTTATGGCCTTTGAAAATCAAGCGAAATTATATTGTTGACAAATCGCTCAAAATTATTATAACTAATTATAAAAAAATGCAGTACGTTTGATCCTTGATACGTTTTCTCTTTTTCGGCCGTATACCAGTGGATTCGTCTCACTTCTCTCTTCATTTTGATAGTATTTTGAGCCCAAAAATAGTTTATTTTGAACGTTTTAAAGCGCAGTTTAATCCTAGCGTACGGACCAACTGGCTGCTGACAGTCTTGAAGGGTTAGCACTTTTTTCCATCCAGCAAACCGCCCTATCGATTTTGTAAAGTCATTTCTTTTTGGATTTTTTTATTAATTCGGTTAGGGTTAGGGTTAGAGTTAGGGTTGAGGTTAGGGTTAGGGGTTAGAGTAGGGTTTGGGTTATAGTTACATAGCCATTTAACACCTCTTCAATCTTGCGAAAATGACGTCAAGTCAGTTTGCTGGATGGAAAATAGTGCTAATCGTCTTTGAAGAAGGATGTAGCGTACTAAATATAACTTTACTTGTAGGGTAGTGCCTACCGCATTTTAGTACTGTGTTAAGCCTTTCGCGCTCGTTTTCGACTTTTCCGCCTAGCTGGGGCAAAACCTTAAATCTTAATTGAAATAGCTGTGTACTGTATGTATCGTGTGTGATCATGTACAGTAATGTGCGTATTTGTATAGCCCCAGCGAGTTAACGCTCCACAGAGCGTCTTGTTAAGGTAAAATTGGGACACGGTTACCAGTTTGCATATAAATTACATAATAATGAGGAAAAAAACAACAAAAAGTTGTCTTTGTTTTATTGCTGAATATGTTTGGAAAAAAGACAAACTTTACACCTGGGGCTGGTTGTATGAAAACATATACATTAGGTAAAAATAACAATTATGCTGTCAACTACATATTTAGTACATTTTACTCTTGAAAACAATGTATAAAGGCCTGTTTACATGAGCAAATTTTATTTGACAAATTTCACTAGCATGCTAGCTTTTGTTCAAATGCATTTGTCACAATAAATTTGTCATCTACACAAGCAAAATTTGTCAAGTACAATTTGCTTGTGTAAGGGGGCTTTTGGGTATTATTAATTTATTAGGTTTTAGCCAATACTAGCTGTACAACCAGCCTGCTGGTGCGGTTATTATAATACAGACAATTATAAATAACACCAACAGTATTGTACAGTATTACTGGTGGAAATCGTACACAAAATTTTAATCAAAATCACAATGATCCTAATCAAGGCCTTACAGGATCCTATAGGATCTTAATTATAAAATCCTATCTAGATTTTGTTCATGATTACCACAAGGGAAACATTAGATTGTTAGTGGTATTTATAATGGTGCAGTAACTGCTCTACCAATCCACCCTTACAAAATATAAACATTATTTTCCAGCAATTTCAACCAGAAAAAAGTTTAAAATAGACACTTATATGTAAATTGTGGTTTAAGACCACTTGAAAATTAGAACTTCAGCCTACTTTCTAACCTTGCAATTTCAAACCTAAGGCTATGTGTACAATGTATTGTAGGGAACATCTGATATCTTCCATCTCTTTCAAGTTTGGGTTCAAAGCAGGGCAAAAAAATTCAACAGCAGGGCAAAAAAATCATTAGCAAATGGCCCATGGGGGCCAGGGGGGGGAGGTCACATGGGCATGCTTGGATTTGACTGATGCATAACTGGTGCTAAAAAGGGTCATAATACTAATGGGTCGTTCCAGAAAAGATCCATACTCCCCGCATGGAGGAAATTTCTGCCCTCCGTAGGGGGAGCTAGGAAGAAAAAATTGTTGCTGATAATAGTGAATGTATTAGGACATCCGAAGGGGATAGGGGGGTTAACTTCCTATTTCCTCTGTGGGGGTGGTATGGATGTTTTCTGGAATGACCCAATTAAAGTCACAGTTCAGCCTTTTGAATGATGGTTTTTAAGGTGCATTTCAGCCCTTTTCATTAATTGAAAAACTAACTAGGGAAATCAATTATGCATAATTCAAGATCAGTAAACACAATGTTTTTAACACTAAAAAGTTTTAAAATGTTAAAAAAATCAAGTTTGCTGATCTTGAGTTATGCTTAATTAATTTTCCTAGTAGTTTTTTCAATTAAAAGGGCTGATGTGCACCTTAAAAACCAACATTCAAAAGGCTGAACTGTGCCCTTTAAAAAGTCAAATATGCCTGGACCACATATTACTGACAAAAATACTGCTAACATTGTTCCTTCTCGGAAGACTAGCCATTGACTCTTGCAAGTCATCCTTTTCAAAGTCAATTTCATTAACATTAGTGTCCTTTTTACATAGCAGTTTAGCGTCAGAATAACTTATGCGACTATTTACATTATAACCATAGACATAAGCAGTCATATTGTTAGACCCACCACATGCCTGTCTTTGCACGGAGAAAAATGATTCAACAATGTCCTGGTTCAGCCTTTTCGGTATAACATAATGACTTCCATGGAGACGTCTGAATCTGGAACTATTTATATAATTTACCAAACCAATCAATCCATTGATTGAAATCTAGAGAGAGGTATAAAAAAGAAATGGTGAGAATGTAATCAAATGGGTGTAATAGACTTATGACATTGTATACACTTTTATTGCATATATAATGTCAGCACTGATATGCTAAATCAGTTAGTGAAGTATATCATGGCTGAGCTTTTATATGGCTGGGGGTTATAGGTTTTTTGCCAATTACTTTACCTGTAAGTCATAGAATGTTTGCCAAGAGATAAACCGAGATGATTGCTCAGTTTTTAATGTAAATTGTTCGGCAAGTTTATTTTTCCACTTCCTAAAGAAGTCTAAAACATCCTCTATTTTCCCAAGTCTCACATCTGTCTCTGATGAAAGGGGTGTGGTATCATTAAAGACATTCCATAATGTCTCACAGTTACATATAAATTTCTGAGTGGATGATGTTATATCTGCCTCGTATTTCTCCATGTCCTCCCGCACTTTTGAGTTCAATACTTGAACTGCAAGTTTAACTCGCATTTTACTCAGACTGTCTAGGTGTACATGCGAGCTTCTTAAATCTGTACTGAACAAATGTCGCTGTTTATCTCTCAAATAGACCGAGTAAACATGATCCCAGAGTATGTCCTTTGAATGTAGTGACAAGCACCTGGTATATCTTGGACACATATCTTTATGACCACTGTTATACAAGTTGTTTCGTAGTTTTTTCACAAGATGAGGTGGATCAGAAAGAAAAAAGAGTGGACTGTTTGAAAATGGATTATGTGTCTTGCTAACAGTCTCGGTACAATCATTTATATCCATGAACGTTCTGTTTTCAGGAGCACCGTCGCAGATGCTAACAATCACTTCGAAGTCATGGGCATGTAGCAATCCCACTCCTTCCCAAAATATTCTGTTTAATTGGGTTGCAGTAATGCCTCTGGTTAAAAAATAACCGCATGGATAGTTAAAGGATGAAAAGACACTTTTGAAGTAAAACTGGAGGACATGCGAGGCAAGTTTCTCTGTTGTAGTCGGTTTACAATCTGGAGAGGCATCGTCGCATTCCAAGTCAACAAACCCAATAAGTTCCCAAGAAGATGGGTCAAACAATAGGCCTTCTTTGATTTTCACCTCATCAAAAATGAGGGCCCCCAACTTTCCAACATTTGGCACTTTCTGTTGCTCACAGCTCGATTGCATTCCCTGGAAAACAGATGTCTGCCACCCAGATTTTGATGAGCAGAAATTCTTATAATCCGACAGGGTTCTTCCACTAGGAAGTCTTAAAAATCCTGAATCTCTCAGTTCAGAATATGTTGAATGGGATTTGCAATATATACGGAGACACCACTTTAAAACTAAGGGATGCCAACGCATTTGCCTGGATGGCATATTGAGTGCCTTGGCTTGATCTTTGAGTAACAACAGGAAAAAAGAATCTGATTCACTACCAGTATGACCAACAATATGCGATTCCAGTTGTTTTTTCTTTGAAAAGGTTTTGTCACAACCCAGCCATTTGCAAACGTATTGCTTGTTTATAGGGGCAACATCAACTTGTGGTGGTACATGCAACTGTTTTATATGGCCAAAAAGTTGTTCAGTTGACACAAATTCTCCTCCGGTCTCACAATTTTGCCAACAGCAAACAATATTAGTGTGTTTGTCCGAAATGTTTTTAAAGCCACTATAAAGCTTTGTAAACAATTCCTTAAATTCTGAATCTGTATTACAACCAACTGTTGTCATACTTTCCTGGTGTTCTTGAAGCCTTCTCAAACTAACTTGCAACCCATGCATTGTCTCTGCTGTGAGTCTACTGTGCTCAACTAGTTGATCTTTGGTCATGTAATCATAACGTGTAAATTTTGATACAGTATCATTATTGGAAACATTCTGGTTTCGAGATTTCAATGTTCGCATGTAATGATCAGTTCGAAAGCAAGATTCGCATCGCAAACATGTACTACCAATAGGGAGGAAAAGGAAACAGTTAGAAGATCTGACAAGTTTTTTATCAAAATTGGATGGAATAGGTTCAACAAATGCAGCAGGTTGGCCATCATTGCTCTTAAAAACAGGTGCATCACTATCAATGGGTAGGTCATGATATTTTTCTATAGAAACTCCAGGACATAGAGTGTGTTTCTCCAGTGTTTGCATAAATGAATACAAGTCCTTCTGAGTGTGAATTGATTTTGGCAATGAAGTAATACAAGTTGTTCTGGACTTTCCCCCAAGGATGAACTTATATTCACCATCAGCTGACACAATGACTTCGTATGCTGGATGGACAGGACTGTTCGACATGTAGTACAAATGTACTGTACGGTCACTAATATCTGCATTAATATGCCAATTAGGAAATTGTTGGGATATGAGATTGGCATCCTTGTCAAATTTCCAGGCAAAAGAACTAGACTGCTCATTTTCTTTTAAAACAGAAAGACATTCCATCTCAAAACAATCACGTAAATCACGGACACTTTGATCACTGACTGGCTTTAATTCAAGTAGATCAGTTAGAGCAGATCTGTGAGTTCTAATAACGCTCTGTATATTTTTAGAATAAAATTTCCATCTAAGTAGCCCTTTGTATTTGCCCAAACCTTTCGTTAAATTGTTGGTCGATCGGTAGAAATAATTTCGCAAGCCAATGCCATTAAAGTTAATCCCATAAACATCGTATACTGCTCTAGATATATACACAAATTTCTCAGGGGAGCCTTTTGCAAAATTGAAATCGTCACCGGAAGACATCTTGATTAAGGCATACAGGCCAGGGTGCATTCCGTGTAAACCTCACGCCGAAGATTATCAGAGGCAGTGTTGCCATGCGCCAAGTGAGGTCAAGTTGTGCGCCGGCCCTAGTCATCGCGGGCACCATGATTTTTTCATTAGTTGGTTAAACATTAAACTTACTAAAAAGGCTTGTAACTGATGGAAAAAATGTTTTGCTGATGAGCAATAATGAGTCAGTTATTACTGTTGTATCACAAGTTACTGTACCTTACATGTACAAAAGTCAAAATTGTTGTATCACAAGTTACTGTACCTTTCGTCCGCTATTCAAAACGGCCACTGGAGAACAAACTTTTTATTACAACATTGTTAGAATACGGAACGCTTTGGACACTTGTTTGAAACTTATTGTGTGTCAGTTCACTCGTTCACTCGTCTCTTGAAATAAAAGTTAACGAAAGAGTTTTTGAAGAAGTAGTTTATCTATAATACACATACATTAGTTATTTTATATGTGTAATAATAGTTCATCAATCATTACTTTTAACATTTATAGTTATCGTAAATATATATGCATGTATGTGTGTGTATGTGTGTAGCTATATATATATATATAAATATGAGTAAATTAATAAATGTTCTCGACTCTCGAATGAGTATTTCATAATTTCCAGACCGTGCGCAAGCAAAAAGATGCCTGCCGCGGCTGGGTTTGGAACACGCGACCTTCGAATTACGATGCTCTACCATGGCCTATGAACTACGGCTGAATGTCATAAACATACTCGTTTATATTTATTCAGCATCGAACAATACTAGCTAGTTTTGCAAGTATTTATCTGCATATATAATGTATATATTAATTCATGTCATGTAAATTATCTTTGAAAAGCCTCTTTGGGGAAAGGTAATAAAATCTCAAATGAAACATATGGACTGTAGTATAGTAACTGTACACGTTAAAACACGTCATCAACTATTATGTCAACTCTTCTTTGTACTCATCCATAGGCATAGAGAAATTACACAAGTCAAACAATAAACAATTAGGAAGATATACAGACACTGTCTAACATAACTAAGATACTTTTATATAAATATATTCATGCACTGTTATTTTCGGGGTGTTATTTTAACACCAAAAAGAGGGGTTACGACGTTTAGTCTAAAATAATCCTTTTTTAGGGGTTACAAATAACACCAATTAAGGTGTTAAAATTTAACCCCAGTTTTGGAGTTAAAATAACACTCATTGGGTGTTAAAATATAACACCTTTTAAGGAGTTAAATAAATCTAACTCCGTTTCAGGGGTTAAAAAAATATTTCTTCCTTCGAATGTCAGAAACTTACATTGCGAAATGGTCCATTTATATCTTAGTTTATGCTATCGTCTTTTAAAAAACATTTCCTTTGAGGATCAATATATTAAAATATCGATGTGTTGGTTGCATAGCAACTGGCAACTGCGAAGGAATTACAGTACGACCACGTTATTGTAGCACGCTATCCATAAATGCACATGCACATACACGGAAGTATATAACTTTAATACTATTACTGTATTAAAAGTCAATGAATCACATGCACATGCACGGATACAATCGACGTTTGCTTGATATTTTTGTTTCATTTGCAATAAAAATATATCGAAATTGTCACATAAAGTCTTGTGTTCTGAGATATCATTGCTTTCTGAAAGACTAAAACAAGTTACCAGTAATTGACAAATTGCAAACGATGAAAACCTGTACAACAACTATAGTCCTCGGAATATTGTGAATATAGTATACAAGGTATTAATATCAAAAACCAATTTATATTTTAACTTTAATAAAATTTAACGTTGAAAATATCTATCAAAACATTATACAATTAATTATCTTCCTCAATATTAACTTATTTACAAAACTGTCACCATTGTAGTTTTGCCAATTAAAGTCTATCCATGCATAGTGTATAAAAAACTGAACCAAAACAATATAATGCATGTGGCCTTTATGAGGCATTATTGCCATGTTCCTTTATCAAATTAGTTCCAAATTGTTAGACAGAGTGAAATATAGTAAGTGCTCAATATAGGAAATTCCAACAAGAATACAAATTCTTGGCAATGCTGTGTTGTTATTTTGCATGCCATCTAATGGATAATTTGATAAAACAAGATTTTGCTTATATTAACCCATTAAGCGCCAGCGCTCTCCCCTTGATGAGTAAAATTGTCTGGCGTTAGACAGAGTAAAATACTAAAGTAGGGTGCATCAGGGAGCATTGCCACTCAATGGGTTAACTAGACACATGGGCAGATAGGCTAACTAGTTAACCCGGCCATTAAGCGCCAGCGCTCTCCCCTTGACGAGTAAAATCGTCTGGCGTTAGACAGAGTAAAATGCTAAAGTAGGGTGCATCAGGGAGCATCGCCACTGAATAGGTTAACTAGACATATGGGCAGATAAGCGGGTTAACCCATTCAGCGCCAGCGCTCTCCCCTTGACGAGTAAAATCGTCTGGCGTTAGACAGAGTAAAATGCTAAAGTAGGGTGCATCAGGGAGCATCGCCACTGAATAGGTTAACTAGACATATGGGCAGATAGGCGGGTTAACCCATTAAGTGCCAGCGCTCTCCCCTTGACGAGTAAAATCGTCTGGCGTTAGACAGAGTAAAATAATAAAGTAGGGTGCATCAGGGAGCATCGCCACTGAATAGGTTAACTAGACGTATGGGCAGATAGGCGGGTTAACCCATTAAGCGCCAGGCTAGCGCTCTCCCCTTGACGAGTAAAATCGTCTGGCGTTAGACAGAGTAAAATGCTAAAGTAGGGTGCATCAGGGAGCATCGCCACTGAATAGGTTAACTAGACATATATGGGCAGATAGGCGGGTTAACCCATTAAGCGCCAGCGCTTTCCCCTTGACGAGTAAAATTGTCTGGCGTTAGGCAGAGTAAAATACTAAAGTAGGGTGCATCAGGGTGCATCGCCACTTGATGGGTTAGGATAACCAGGAGCCGGTTGTTTCCAAGGCGTTTAGCTTAAACGGTGGATAAGCACAAATTTCAAAACATTCCTATTCATT